AAAATTGTTCATCATAGAAATAAGAATTTTGTCCACATATTTCTGAAGTTTATTTGAGACGGCCGTAGCGGTATTTAAATACCCAAAATCAACAGTTCTGTGTTTTTTGGCGTTTAACCCTAACTGCATTAGTTTTAATGAACTGACCTAGATGAAAGTGATCGGTCACGTATCCGCACCAGATCATGAGTGAGTACACCGCGTTACGCATCCTTCTCAAATACAATCCGGCTCAGACTAAACGTTCCTCGACATACCGATATCCTTCGAATACATCATCAAACTCATTCATTCCCGACTTCCAATTTGATTAGATTGAGATAATCTTAGAGTAAAGGTGTTATTGGTTAAAGTTTTTTCGAACTCCGAATACGTGTGACACCTTTGTGACGAATGAGTTGTACGGTCTCAAGTCTTCAAGGTATCATGGGTACCCAGGGCTCGAAAACGCGTTTCCCGTAACACCTTTATGATACAAAGATCGCACGAATAATGACCTTATGTTCTGAAATGGAGTAAATTGGAGATATATTTGGCTAATATCCGATATCCAGTGACGCGTGTAATCTAAGCTGACCAGATGTTACTACGGATGTCTAAAACGGTCTCATTAGTGATCTGGTGCAGATGCGTAACGAACTTCTTCGAACTGAAGTCCAGCAAAACTTATAAGGTCAGAGCTGACTTCGAATACTTATAGAAAACGTTATTTCGAGGATTCACCTGCTGCCATAAAAAGAAAAACTTCCTACAGTGACGCATCACACTCATCTGCAAATTTAGAATTATAAATTCAGGGCCATCAAGAGAATATGTCATGAAATAATTAAACATAAACTGATATTTGTTATCCTGACACCATGCATCATTATTGCATTATTTAGTGAGGACAACAAACCGCGCGCGTTCGAAAAGGGCAGTGATTTTGTACTTGTTGTGATTATCCTTGCTTTTGTGTAAATTGTTGCATCAAAAGCATTCTTGGTCTATATTAAAGTACTTTAGTTAAGGTTTTAAATCTTGCTAAGGTTTGTCTTGAGGTGCCCTCTTCCTCATTGACTGACACTAGTGATCATATTGTGTTATACACCTTAATCTGACTAAAATGGTTGGTAGTACTCACAAATGTGGACAACCACACTGTTTGTTCCCTGTGGAGGAAGGAATGCAGTGTGATGAGTGCAAAAGGTGGTTCCATAAGATGTGCACTCGTTTAAGTCCCACTGCGTACAAAAGATGTTCAAAGCCTAACTCAGATTGGCTTTGCATGTTTTGCTGTGCAAATAAGACGTTACTAATACAAGAGGCTATGAGCCTATTGGCTTTGGTCCGTAAGAGCACTGACATTGACGAATGTGTCAGTGTAGTACCTGCTGTTACAAGACGCCTCAAAAACCCGAATTTGATTGACGGAAAAGTGAAATTCCCGTTAACATTAACGCGGGAAGAAGCACCACTTGAAACTGACATCGGTAACCATGCACCTCTAGTGGAAACTGAAGATGTGAATAAGACCGTCACTGTTGCAAATAGTCCCGGTGTCCTGAGAGATGAAAAATAAACTACAGTACGGAAAAAACGAAGCGAAAAGAAAAACGCTGTGGGCAGTGCGCAGGTGGTTAGCAAGTCATTGATGGACTCCCATTGTGAGTCACAAAACGCACTACCAAAATCCGATAGTAAGAGGGAAACCCACCCTGGCGTGACTGAAAAGAAGAATCTGATATCATCGAATATTATTTAAAGCAAATTGCTGGAGTCAAACGACCCTGATCCCAAAATTAGACATGCGCATGATTTAGAGAAGTTGGGAGAATATATTCGTAGTATCTTACCAGATAACTCTAAAGGGGTTCAGGTCAAAAAGCTGGTAAGAATAGGCAAAAGGACCGAGGACAATGCTGAACCCCGACCATGCAGACTCCTTAAGGTAATCCTAGGATCAGAGAAGCAACGGGACCTCCTGTTAAGTAATGCTCGTTGTCACGACAATTCCGATATCCGAGTTAGACCTGATATGTCTCTCGAAGTTAGAATAAAAAGAAAGAAGGCACTAGCTGAACTAGAAATCCGTCGACAAAACGGTGAGAAGAATTTCCGGTTAGTGGGTTTTCGGGTAGTCAGGTCATGGAAGCGAATGCTACCAAGGCCTGTGTGGATAGGCCGTTCTACCTAGGAGTCTTATATGCCAACGCTCGTAGCCTAAGAAATAAGTTTTATCAGCTAGAAGCATTAGTGGACAGATTAAGGCCACTCATTGTAGCAGTGACAGGAACTTGGTTAGCCCATGGCTTAGACATTACTCCAGAATTATCGGGATACCATCACCTAAGGAGTGATAGACATAGTTGTAGACAAGGAGGTGGCGTCCTGTTATATATATCCAATAATATAAATATACGCTGCCTTGTTAGCGAATCCCATGACAGCGGTACTTGTGAAGTTATTAGCTGTAAATTGGATATCGGATGTAGTACGTTTATGCTCGGTGTCATCTATCGCAGCCCAATCTGCTTAGCTGATGACTTTATTCTAGAGCACATTCATCTTTGGAGTACCAATACCAGATGCTTGATAATAGGAGACTTTAATGCACCTGACATTAGTTGGACTGAAATGACCACTAAAGGATCTATAAACTCCTTTGATAGTAGGTTCCTGATAACAATAATGGAGGATGCATTAGTGCAGCATGTATCCAAACCTACACGTTTTGGTGCTAACCAAGGTTCTTCTCTGTTGGACTTGGTAATCACTCATGATACTAAAGATATTGTCAACCTAAATGTTCTCCCACCGTTAGTGAACAGTGATCACGCTGTTTTGTCCTTCTCGTTTAGAACTAGAGACATGTTATACGATCAGGTCACACCCCGCCCAGATATATGGAAAGCTAACACATCAGCCATTCAGGAATGCGCTGCTAAGACAGATTGGTTTGTAGATACTAGCTTATCAGTTGAAGAAGCATGGTCTGTATTTAAAGGTAAGTTTAGATTAGTTACGTCCTCGTTCATACCATACCTGGTACCGCGTAGACCGAATAACAGTACACCATGGATAACCAAACCAGTCAAGAAACTTCTTATAAGAAGGAAGAAGCATTGGAATATGTTCATCTCTACTGGCTTAGAACAATACCGATCCAGTTATTTTAAGACTAGGAATGCCTGTAAATCTTTAATAAGTAAGACTAGACGATCATACGAAAAGCAATTGGTTAGAGATTCTAGATATGGTCCGAAACGTTTATTCTCGTTTATAAAAAGGCGAACTCAGAGAAGTGATGGAATTCCATCACTTTTGATACAAGGAAATCCGTGAATCTTAGCAGAAAATGATACCGAAAAAGCTGAAGCTTTATCGGAATATTTTAGTAAAGTGTTTTCTATCACTAATGAGGAACGAACAACGAGTCATTATGACCGTAACGGCTCGCTGATGGATCCTGTGGTCATTGAGAAAGGTACTGTTTTAAGGCTACTTCAGCACATCAAATCTGATAAGTCCAACGGTCCTGAAAATATTCATCCTAGGATTATGAAAGCCATATCAGATGTAATTGTTGAACCATTAGCGATACTGTTTGACATGTCTCTGATGCAGTCCAGACTGCCCAGAGACTGGAAAGACGCTATAATAAGTCCAATGTATAAGGCTGGAAGTAGGGATTTAGTTAGTAACTATAGAGCCGTTAGCTTAACTAGTGCAGTTGTAAAACTGATGGAAAAATCATTCGGATATCTGTTATAAACTATGTTGAAGGGCATAATCATTTCTCCAGGGAACAACATGGTTTTCGGAGAGACCTATCGTGCTTGACAAATCTAATTGTAAGAGAAGATTGGGCTGCTGCAAAAGATCAGAATATTCCAGTAGATGTGATCTTCATAGATCTAAGTAAGGCCTTCGATAAGGTCTCCCATTCTGGTCTTAAATTCAAACTGGAACGCTTCAGAATACATTATACAGTCGTAGATTGGATAAGTAACTTTCTCCATGACAGGAAACAAAGGGTAAGGGTTAATGAGGCTCTTTTCTCGTGGGTACCTGTAAAAGGTGGAGTTCCTCAAGGTACAATCCTCTGTCTTCTTCTCTTTTCACTTTATGTAAATGAATTACCAACTGTAGCAAAATCATCCGTTCTACTATTCGCTGATGACATAAAAATTTGGAGACCCATACACAATATGTCGGATAGAATAGTATTACAAAATGATCTTAGATCATTGGTAACATGGTTAGACAGGTGGTCATTTGAAGTAAAACCTAACAAGTGTGTGGTGATGCAATTAAATAACAATGATGAATCGTATCACTATACAATACGTGGATTCGTACTACCCAAAGTAAGAAACTATAAAGATTTGGGAGTCATATTAAGTAGTGATCTTGAAACCACTAGTCACTGTAAGGCTGATGCTGCGGAAGGCTATAGGGTATTATGGTCTATTTCTAGGTCTTTTCAGTATTTAGATGACGAAATGTTTAGATTACTATACCCGATTTATGTGCGACCACATTTAAAATATGGGATTGAAGCAGCGAGTCCTTATTTCAGGTATGAAGCAAATGTGCTGGAAAGAGTCCAACGACGAGGTACTAAGATGGTACAAGGTCTATCTGGACTATCTTATGAAGACAGATTGAGACACCTCAACTTATTTCCGTTATATTACCGTCGAATACGGGGTGATCTAATATTGGCTTATCGTATGCTGAACGATGACCTTAGTATTAACATGTCTTATCCTTTACTGCCGTCTACGACTGATCGTTTAAGAGGACACCCGAAAAATTCAAAAACCGAGAACGAATCGTTTCGTCTGAAGTTTCGTTTCTCTCATCGAGTAGTGAATTATTAGAATTCTCTACCAGAACACGTATTATCAGCACCTTCTGTTGATATATTCAAGACGAGATTAGACCTCCACAGTATTACAAACTGCAAGGATTAATATAGGTCGATAGATCTCCTATCCTTATTACTGAGGACTGAAGACTGAAGGCGCTCCTTATAAATAGTGCGCAACGTACAGGATGGACGTCTCTGAAATTAGTCAGCTGTAGGTTATTTAAATTCTTAACTGTTGAATCGAAACTTCCTTGGTCATCATTAAAGCTTATTTATTTACTGTACAACGCTGATTTCGCAAGAATTTGTATTCTACAAATCAAATTGTTATTAACTTAGCAGCTGCCAAGTTTGTGCACTAGTGCACAAATTACCGACCTTTTTGAATTTTTATAATCTCATAGCATTTGTGAAATATGCGTAAAATTAGCTCCAGATGCAAGATTTATTCCTGGATGGCTTGTGACCATTTCCTTCACAGTTATATATATATATATATATATACAGAGAGAGAGAGAGACGTTCCTTAAGTTCCTGTAGCTGACAAATGGTGTTCAGCCATGGAACCATTTGTTTTGAAGAAGCAATAATCATAATTATTAACCGGCTTCAACATAGATAATACATCGATGTATTTAAATTGATATGGGTTCCATCACTAAATGGAGTCCAAGAGCTATGATCTTTTATCTCATTGATTCATCCATAAATTATAGTCTCACCTCAAAATTTTGTTAATATCTTTCCAAATAATTCCTTTAAAACTGAATTTCACACATGATATCATTAAAGCTCATAATCACCCATTTCATTAAGCGGAATTGACAGCTTATTTGACCCATTCCACGTTCGCACAATTTAAAGTGAACCCATAATGCTTTTAGCAAGTGGAATAAATGATAACATAACTGATGAGTGAAGATGTACAGTGTTCAATAAAAAAATATAAGCAGGTCAAGCAAATACAATACAATAGCTTTTGTTGATTGAAAACACTTCGCTTTGCTTTTTCGGAGGATGTCATCAAAAAACCCGACAGAATCGTCGCTGGCATCTGTTTCAAACCATATCGGACAACGTTTAAAGTCATTGAGTTACATGATATGTATACACACCCCAAATGCCCTGGTACGGTCGAGAGTGGGGAGAGTCCGCTCTCCCTCTCGGAATGCTCTCACACGACCACGCGTATATAGCCTCTGCCAGGGAAGTCCTACTCACTGCCTTCTCGCACCACGGGTGTTGTTTACGAAAATGAGAGGACGAAAAGAGGATGTCCGGCGCTTTAACCGGACCCCAAACCCATGGTGCACATGGGCTCCAGTATCCTGAAGGAACAAATGGCATATGAACCAATCGTTGGTCACCGGCTACCATGGGACTGCATTTCCTTACGATGCTCCACTGCCTCGTGGGTCAGACGTTCAGGTCGAAGGCTCGGGGTGTGGCCCTATAAGAAAACCACCTGTTTCGGTCTGGGCACCCGAGCAGTATCACAGCCCTTACACATATCAAATGAGATCTGTGTGGCGCATATGTACTTGGTGCCTCCTTGTACCAATACCTATGTGTTAAAATAAATAAATAGACCTAAACGTCTTCAGTCTCTCGCAATCCATTTCGACGGCTTACTGCAAAAATTGAGATAAATAATCGAATCCTCCCCGTCTCGAAAAAATACTTCTAAGTTAGAAAATGCTAACAGATGAACGGACATCAACGTAGAGCATGAAGAGTGCGTTGACTCAAGTTTTCATACCACATTAGCACGAAGAAATTTTTCTAGATAAGTTGCAGAGGTCAAAATTATGTAGTAGCGATGATAATAAAAAGCACTAAACATTTAGTGTGCTTTGAAAAGACATATGCACGAATACAAGAATTTAAGGTCGAAAAATTAAAAGAGAATGTGTCTGTGCCGTTGTCGATGATTCTAAGCTCCATCACTGATCGCGGTTATCACTTGGAACACAACCGTACAGTATGCACCTGCCAACAGCTCATGACCTTATGCAGTGATCTCATGTCTTGGTTCGGTTCTCCCCGACTGTTTCCAAGCTGCTACACCAACAAACGCCATCCATCAAGATAGGTGGTAGTTTGCTGTACATAGTACATCCTAACCATCTCAGTTGATGAAGGTTTACAACCTCCAGTTGGTTTTCTACTTGCAGAATATTTTTTCCATTTATATACAGTAATTTCTGAATAATCAATTGCGATTTGGATTGTCTGTTACTGTATAGTAAGACAATATCCTCCACAAACCCGTCGGAAATTGTAGCGACGATCAGTCATTTGGGAGGAATGCACAACCAACGATGATGATACCCGCTTCAAGAATCCTTCCACTGACGCTACTCTTTTCGCCATTAGTTTATTGGATGTGTTAAGTTAGCTTTCGTTAGCAATCTGATTTCAGTTCTGATCTGTGACAACAAGGTTCGATGATCCTCGTACAAGATTTGTGTCATTCTGTGTAGCATCTTTTTATTTATTTATTTATTCATTATTTATTTGAACACATGGATATTGGTACAAGGGGGCACCAAATACATATGCGCCACATTAGATTTGCATGAGGGCTGTAATACTGCCCGGGTGCCCAAACCGCAGCAGGCTGTTTTCTTAAGGAGCCACCCCCGGAGCCTTCGAGCTAAAGGTCTGATCTTCGAGGCAGTGGAGCATCGTAAGGAGATGCAGCCACATGGTGGCAGGTAACCAACAATTGGTTCGTACACCATTTGTTCCCTCAGGATACTGGGGCCCATGTACACCATTGGTTTGGAATCAGGGTTTTCCAACTCCCCTAGGTGAACTCTCCGTGTCCACCAAACCGGTTAAAGCGACGGACATTCGCTTTTCGTCCTCTCAATTTTTTAAACAACACCCTGGTGAGAAAATGGAGTGAGTAGGACTTCCCTAGAAGAGGCTATATACACGTGGCCATGTGGGAGCATTTCGAGAGGGAGAGAGGACTCTCCTCATCCTCGGCCGTACCAGGTCATTTAAGAGCTATGTAGCGCCTTGCCTGGGATCCACCAGAGTAGACTGGCATACATTAGGAATTTGTTAGCGGCTTTGAAAAACCCAGTATTTAATGGCTTGTAAAACTCAGGTGATTTTCTTCGTCATTTTTATGTTGTCTTGTAAGCACAGTCAGTGTTCATGTACACCTCTCGGTGAATAATAGTTAACTTTTAAACAATCTCAACTTGATATTTCTACCAGTGATAGATACACCTGGTTTGCTGATGTCGATCCGTTTATGATGATGGGTCCATTAGCCAGTAAAATTCAAGATGAGCTTAGCATATATTCATGTATAATCAATAGCCAAAACGGTTCTTCGAAAGAATGACAGTCTTGTTCACGTCCGCGTCATTAATAGTCAATAACAATATGATTATCATAAGTTCAGTCTTACGTTACGGAAAGTCAGTCAGTCAGCTGCAACGTAGGACCAGGCACGATATATGCATCGGTCCAAGTTGCCATACCGCATTAGCACAACAAGATGAACACCGGATTCATAGAAGTAGTTAATTCAGTGGTGGTAATATATAGAAGAAAGATTGTGTATAAGGAGATAGTAAAGGAAGAAAGAATTAGTCCCTAGACAGATATGAAGCGATTTTAATCTCTTAATTTAAGGAAGACAGAGAGTGTATACACCGACGCCATTGTGATCGATTCTGAGCCATGTCACCAAGAGTCTCCAACCATTGGTTACGATAGTCACGCGGACCCCAACCAGGCAGTCTGAATCTCCCAACATGGCTCAGACCAGAAGTTAGTGACTTCAAGCACTGATGCCACGTTTTGGTTTGGCCGCCCCTAACTTTCTTCCAATTATCCCCTGCACTAGTCAGCATTGCGCGTCGTGGTAATCGGTGTTCAGGCACACGCAACACGTGGCCCAACCATCTCAGTCGATGAAGGTTCATAACCTCATCAACTGATTTACCATCATTCCCTAATACCCTGCGTCTAACCTCACTATTACTTACCCGGTGATCCCAGCAGATGCGAGCAATATTTCTAAGGCATCTGTGGTCAAATACTAGTAACTTACGAATATCTTCCACTCTTAAAGGCCATGTTTCGCAGCCGTATAGAAGGACGGAACGAACTGCCGCGCAGTATACTCGTCCCTTAATTGATAGACGGATATCTCGCCTTCGCCATAGATGACGTAAGTTGGCAAAGGCCAAGCGAGCTTTTCGAATCCGTGCTGAGATTTCGTCAGACACCAACCCATTAGGGCTGATCAGACTTCCAAGATAAGTGAAGTTGTCAACGCGTTCGACTACTTCACCCCCTATCCTTAGTTCAGGTGTTGATGCAGACCAGTCCTGAAGCAACAACTTGCATTTAGAGGGAGAAAAGCGCATCCCAAACATTCTAGCATTGTTGCTCAGTGCTACCAAAAGACTCTGCATTTCATCAGCGTCTTCACCAAACAGGACTATGTCATCTGCGTATTCTAAGTCAATAAGTGGACCTCCTGGTAGGAGATCAATACCCGAGAAGTCAGTCGATGAGAGCGTTATTTCCATCAGGATGTCTATGATAAAGTTAAACAAAAAAGGAGAAAGTGGACAGCCTTGACGGACGCCACTTGAGGTTGCGAAAGCAGATGACAGTTCGCCATAGGCTCTGACCCGACTAGTAGTGTTCGAGTAAAGAGCCTTCACAAGGTTTATGTACTTCTGAGGTACGCCTTTCAATGACAGACACTGCCACAGAACCTCTCGGTCAACAGAGTCAAACGCTGCTTTTAAGTCAAGGAATACCACCATTGTCGGACGCCGATAAGTATGCCTGTGTTCTAGAACCTGACGAATGGTGAATATGTGGTCGATGCAGCCACGACCAGGTCTGAAGCCAGCCTGATTTTCACGTGTTCGCAGTTCACGAGTCTTAGTTAGGCGTCCGAAAATTATCGAAGCTAGTATTTTAGATACTATATTAGTCAAACTAATCCCTCTGTGGTTGTCACAGGATGATTTTGACCCTTTCTTAAATATTGGGACGATAAGTGATTGTGACCAGTTAGATGGGATGACGTCTAACTCCCAGATTTTAGCTAAAACATTAGTCAACCTAATCGCTAAGACTAGACCACCATCCTTAAAGACCTCTGGGGCCAATCCATCTGGACCAGCTGCCCTTCCTCGTTTCAGATTAGCTATAGCCTTTTGAACTTCAGCTAGAGTTGGGGGACCTACTTCAATGTTCCATTCACACTGTCTGGGAATAGAGGGTAGTTGTAGAGTAGCTGAAGGCCAGCTAAACTGCTCCTTAAAGTGTTCCGCCCATCGTTCTAAGCGTCTGGATTGGGAGCAGATGAGAGTGTCGTCTTTTTCCGAAATGGTCTGACTTACACTTGATTTATTAATTCCAGTTTCTTTTATTAGTCTGTAGAGTTGTCTTGTGTTCCCTATAGCCGCCGCCTTTTCCATCTCTTTTGCTTTCGTTGCCCACCACTGCTCACGATCATTCCTTAGACTTTTGCTTAATCTAGATTTGATTTCTTTACGCTCTTCATCGTATTCAAAACCTGATGGGATGAGTTTGCGAGAATCTATCAGTGCAATAGACCTTGACGAAATCCATTGGTTTTTTGTAACCATTTGGTTTAAATCACTGGTAGATGTCACTGCTGTTTCCACAGCTGCTTGTATAACTTTCCAAGCAACATCTGGGTCAGTCTCGTTTTCAGAACTACCTAAGTGTGACCTCAGTTGTTCCTGGAACCTACTTTTGGCTTTCTCATTATTCAATTCGGTTCTAATGAGTCTTTTTTGTGTGGCTCTTTTGCGTCCAGTGAGGCGCAAGCAGATGCGTGCTCGTACTAGGGCATGATCAGAGTCCAAGCAGGTACCCCAGAATGAGCGACAATCTTCTATTGACCCTCTCCAACGATGACTGATGGCAATATGGTCTATTTGAGTCCATCGTTGGTTTGGTGCAGGGGGTCGCCATGTTAGACGATGTCTCTCCTTATGTTTAAAATTTGTGTTTGCTAAAAATAAACGATTGTCTGTGCAAAGTTGCAGCAGACGATCACCATTATCTGTTCTCTGTGCCGGAATACTAAAATACCCACCTAAATGTCTTTCTGTTTTGTTTAAGCTACCTACCTGGGCATTAAAGTCACCTCCTACGAGTACTATGTCTGAACGTTTAGCTTTCTGAAGAAGTTCAGACAGCTTTCTGTAAAATTCATCTTTCACTTCATCCGAACTGCAGTCAGTGGGAGCGTAGGCAGAAACAACGAAAAGGCAACGACGTGTGTCCCTATCCTTCCGAGTTCTTACGGAGCCGTTTAGCCGAACAGCGCATAGACGACTGTTAACGGGGATCCACTCTAATAGCGCTTGTTCCGCCCTCATGCTAAGTGCTATGCCTGCACCTGCCAGTCCACGAGAACTAGCCATCGGGTCGCCAGATACATGGAGGGTGTATCTCGTTGGCTCTCCGTTTTGCCGAGGTGAGGTCAAGTGTATGACCACACAAGGATCCTGTATGCGTGTTTCGGAAACACAGCATACATCAATGGTACGAGATTCTAAGGTTTTAGCCAAGGAAGCCTGCTGACCGATTTGGCATAGTGTGCGTACGTTGAAGGCTCCAATGTATAGTTTGGAGCGAGGTTTCAGTAGACCTGGGACAGTGTTTTGAACACTAGAATCGTTGGCTATGGTGACACTTGAGGAGGAAGCCGAAAGAGGAAGTTTAGTGTATAAAGTCGATGTAGGAGGAATAATAGGAATTGAAGAGGGAGGTTGATTATGAATACAGTGGTCTTGAGTGCTGTTAGAGGTATGAGGGCGGTTATCACTTCCCGGTTGCCCACACCGTGGAAGGGTTCTGCTGGAGGTACCTGAAAAGGAAATTGGATTAGAGTTGGTCATAGTGACCTGAGAGCGTGACCGCAGTGCCCAAGGGACAGCTGTTTGAGGTCGGTCACACACGACCTTTTTATGAGTGATTTTTGTGTTAGCTCCGTACTTGTTGAGACCTTACCGCCGGAGACGGATATCCGTGGGATAAGGCGAGGTGTGCATTTTTAGGGTCGACCTTTTCTAACCCCACCCCTCCTTGTGGGAAGGCAGCATCGCTGTCATGCTGGTTGTCTGAAGGAAACACCTTACTGCTGTCACACCTCTGTACAGTCAGCAGTACGACTTCGCCTTCGGACCTAGGTTTTGTTGCTTTTAGTCTTACCGCTCTTCAACCGACCTGTCTGGCATGGTAGGACCTTGAGGAACGGTTGTTCCAGCCAGTATAGCTCAGTTGCTTCATCACGATAGGCAAGCCCGACCACCACGTCAAGGTAGCAACAACGGTCAGGACGTTACAGAAAGAAGACTATATGAATCACATTGGTGATAGCTGTTTTGAGAATTGTTAATCACCAGAAATAGGCCGTAATCTGCAATAGACAGTCCCTTTTATTCCATCTACTACAAACAAGTCCTCACCGAATACCCAAACAAGTTCTCAAACAGCACCACAATGTCTGTCAAATGTTCTGTTCGGAAGCAGTTATTCAACTGGTGGTTAAATTAATTATTTTATATCTAGGCTTCAATCCGTCAACGTGTGGGAAGAGAGTAAAGAAATGCATTTTTCTCGAGCGAGTTTCCTGGTTGAAAAAGGGAAAATGGAAGCAATTCACTTAGCTGAAAGAAATTTTCCCCGTTTGCATTGTTAACTGAACTGTATCTCCTATTACATGCTGATGTTGTTCAATTATTTCCTTAACTTACTTCTCCTCAAGTGTACTATTGCTTCCTCACAGTGTTATCCCCATACTTTGTGTGACTCATTTTATTTCTAGCGCCTAGTTGTACCATATGTTATGTGTTTGAATACTAATACTAATACTAATAATATTAGATGAACCTTCTAGGCTAAAAGCACATGAACGACTGGTAAAATGCATCCAATCGATTGGTTCTGCATTAACCTTATTTTGTTGTGGTCAAGAAAACCAGTCATGTCCAATATTTAAGAATAATGATTACCTGTTATTTCTAACTTATAGATTTCATCCGTCATCTTAGCCAAAGCACTTCCAACTACTGGCTGATTATCTCCGTTGTTGTCTACATTTGTGTGCCCGTATATACAATGGATGAAGATATATGCTCCAGTAAAAGCGAAGCAGATATGACGTGTAGTGCAGAATCTGATGTGGAACCGTTTGTTGATAATGATGCACTTATGACCACCGGAGCAGTCGCTCGTATACTGAAAGAATCCGAACCACTGGATTTAACTCAACTTAAAGTAGTTAGTTATGTTGAAAATGTTGCGCAATCATCAGAAAGTCTACTTAATGAGGACAGCAGCAGTACAAAATCTTCAACTAAGGCGGCTAATTGTTCAACTTCGGAAGATCGTTACTGGACAAATGACTTGTTGCACGTTTTTGTTCTTAGCGAGGCTGGAAAACCCATATATTCACGGTATGGAAATGAAAGTGATCTATCCTCCGTAATGAGTGTCATGCAAGCTCTTGTTTCCTTCGTTGCGAATTCTGGAGATGAGCTTCAGTTAATCAATACAACTGACAAAAAGTTCTTATTCGTTTCTCGGTCGCATCTTATATTAGTGGCATTTAGTCCGATTTCTGAACCCAATTCACATTTGTTCACCTGCCTCGAATATGTATATAACCAGGTTTGTTATGTTGCCTTTTATTTTGCACTAATTTTACACTTGTTAATTAATTTCCCACTTGTTAAAAATGTTGTACTTGTGGAGTAGATGTTAAAATATAACCAATTCTGACCATTCGCATTGGAATTTATCCGAGGAAAAACTCCTAGTTCTTGTCATCAGGTGACATTTTGTGGTGTAGATGTGGTCACCACTTATTTGTATAGCTGGACAAAAATATTTAATCAAGACCCTTAATCGGTCATGCTATATGTCAAATAAAGCTTTACCCCAGTGTCTAGTGGAATAAGGACCTAGGTAAAACGGCAACTATTTCTCTGTATTCGTCAGTCAACTATAAACGTAGGTTTTTAGAGTATTTTGCCCTGTCAATTGGTACGTAATCGTTGGGGTTGTATTTAATGAAACACTTTAGGCTTTACTATCATATGTTATTGACAACGGTAACAAACTAAAACTTTTTCTTACCAAAAGTTGAAATCAGAACATTCAGAAGACCGTAAAGGCTGATTGAAAACATAATGGAAATCAAATGAGAAGACTAATAAGTTTGGTTGTAACTTTCTTACTAAGCAAAGATTTTTGCGTTCAGTTTTCAACTACACTACGTGAAGGCTAATGATCTTACCTAGCTGCCTAAATCAAAAGAAGTGAATCTGTTCAAACCTGGAACCTACTTTCAAGTTTAATCTTTTGATCATTAAGCCAACACTATACACTAGGTTTAGTTATCAAGATTCGGTTACATATCAGAGCATTTAATGAATAAAACAGCCATAAAAATGTAGGATTCAGTCAAAACCAAGTAATAAGCTAATTGAATGAAGATGAGATCGATGTAAGATTTTTGAGATCGCGATCATATCTGGATATAAGGTTGAAAAGTTCCAAACTATTGGCTTCCGTTATACTTCGTAGGTTGTTCAAAATCCGAGAAGGATTGACTCGCGAGGAGCAGGCTGGGTTTCGTTCCGGTCGAGGATGTATTGAACACCGTCATACTTATCAAAGGCCAACAATCGTAGTGTTTCTTGACATCAGGGCTGCCTTCGATTCGTTGGACAGAACTGTTCTGTGGGATTGTCTATTGAAGAAGGGTGTGCCTGAAAAGTTTGTTAACATCCTGAAAGCATTATACACAAACACCTCAGGCGGAGTGAGGGCATACAACCACCTTTCTCCATTGTTCCATTCAAGCAGTGGGGTTAGACAGGGTTGCCCAATCTCACCATTCCTCTTCAACTTTGCCATCGATGACATTCTGGAAACAGCTCTGATGTCTGTAAGTAATGGTGGTGTGGATCTGTTGCCTGGAGAAAGACTTCTCGACCTTGAGTATGCGGATGATATTGTCTTACTGTGCGAGAATGCCCAAGCTATGCAATCCGCACTTAATCAGTTGGCAATCAATGTCCGTAGGTATGGTATGTGCTTTGCACCTTCGAAGTGCAAAGTACTTCTACAAGACTGACAGGATTCTAATCCTGTACTCACTCCGGATGGTGAGCAGATAGAAGTAGTCGAGAAGTTCGTGTATCTACGTAGCTGCATAAGTGCTTGTGGTGGCGTGAGTGATGAGATCAATGCACGTATAGTGAAAGCCAGAGCGGCTTATGCCAATCTGGGCCATCTTTGGCGCCTTCGTGATGTTAGTCTGACTGTAAAAGGTCGGATCTACAACGCGTCGGTGAGAGCAGTTTTGCTCTATGCTTGTGAAACCTGGCCTCTCCGAGTTGAGGATGTTAGACGACTCTCTGTGTTCGATCATCGCTGTCTCCGAAGGATTGCTGGCATCCAGTGGCAACACCATGTTAGTAATGCAGAGGTTCGGCATCGTGTGTTCGGGCACAGAGACGATAATGCAATTGGTGTCACCATCTTGAAACACCGACTTCGGTGGCTTGGACATGTTCTACGAATGTCGTCCCAGAGAATTCCTCGTCGTGCATTATTTGCCGACTCTGGGACTGGTTGTACAAACAGGAGAGGTGGTCAGTGTATGACATGGTGTCGTGGTATGAAAGAAAGCTGCAAAGGGCAGGCTTCTGTTGGTCCTTCACGACTCTCTGGCTGGGGTCCGAGAGATGGTGTAACACAGTGGCTAGAGACGTTATCAGATATGGCTCAGAATAGAAGCCAATGGTGATCCTGCTGTAACCTTCTTTTACTTTCTTCATAAAAAGTGGTTGCCTCTTCCTTAACTGAAAGATTTCTTCTGATTGTACCTTTCCGTTTCCCCCACCATTGTTCTCTCTCTCTCTTCTTTTTTTTATAATTCCCCACGTTCATTACTTTTTTTCTCTTTTCTCCTTCTCTTCAAATTATCATTGTTTTGTGTGGCGCATATATATTTGGTGCCCCGTTTTACCAATATTTATGTGTTCAAATAAATAAATTGGAAAGTTCCTGATACACATCGTCAAGGGTTCTTCGTTCGTCACAAAAACTTTGATAACTTAGCAGACACGAAAAAAGTACTTCTTTTTGAAGTTTTTTTCATCCTATACATGACTTTGAATTAAAGAATCGTCACCATTGAATGAACGTTTTTAGTATAGTGCTTTACCGTAAAGGATCTATAATGCATTCTTTACTACCTAATTCCAATTATGTCGTATGCTCTTGGGATGTTTTTAGATATAATGCCCGTCGAATACAAATATATTCCTATCAATATCTGTTATTGTGAATATCTGTACCTTAGCTATTGTAGTTAACAATGTAAGCTGGTTAGGGAATGTATCCTTTCTTGAGAAGAGTGAGATAGTAGTTTTAGTTTGAAATCCATGCTCGTAAGGGTTCAAAGGATAACACAGCATTTTATAAAATTATAGAATCATTTAATCCTAGGTTACGATCTATCAAGTTATGTGAATAGCTTCAATTTGAATATCATCATAAAAAGGAAGTTGTCTTCAAAACCTATAAAGTGTGTTTGGTTTATATTAATTTTTGCAGAGCAATTACACACCATAAATCGATAAAGTCGGTATCTGAATGCTATTATATGGTTTTGTCAAAATTCTAGATAATAAGCTCATTAACTTTGCAAAGAGTGGAGAAACAATTCACAAGGCATGCTAATTTGGATTTACGCAAACTCCTTGTTGGAGATAATCGACTTTTATCCTCTATCATAAATCGCGTAGAAGAGACTTTTGGGGTATTTTTGAATGCAATCAGCTGTACACCACTTCCGGAAAATAACAGAGCTGCAATATCACAGATTATTTGTCAAAATGCCAAATTATGTGTAAGTTAGTTTTGTCAAATATATACTTTACAGATTTTTCAAGTAAGTTTTATTTATTATCTAAACATGAATATTGGTACAAAGAGGCCGTAAAGTAAACACGCACCATACAATAAGAAAACTAGATTGTAAAGAGTTATAAGAACTGAAATGAGTATAGTAAAAAAACAATAACTGAATACGAGTAATAAGAGAAACAGCTTGATTAAAAAACGTAATCAGAAAGAATTCTTGAGGTTGGAAAAGTTCCTCTCATCTTTTACGAAAAAATTAAAAGGAAACCACAGCTGAATGGCCAATGGCTTCTGTTCTGAGCCATGTCTGATAACTTCTTAAGCCAGTGTTGCTCTATCTCCAGCACTTCAACTAGAGAGCTGTGATGGACCGACAGATGCTAGTCACGTACGGTTTTCTTTCGTACCACGGGAATGTGTCATAAAACGAACACCGCTGTTTTCAACTAGTCCTGGTGTTGGCAAATAATCAACAATGTTGAATTCTATGGGACGACATTCGTAAGACATGTTTAAGCCACTGGTGTTTTAAGATAGTAACACTAAGTAAATTATCGTCGTTGTGCCCGGACTTATGTTGCCGAACCCTCTTATTACTAACATGGTGTTGGCACCGAATCTTAGTAATACTTCGAAGACAACGACAATCAAACATAGAGAGCCACTTAACATCCTCATAGAGCATAGAACAAAACTGCTCTCACCTTCGTATTATATATCCGACCTTCTACATTGAGATTAACATTACAAGGGCGCCAAAGATGGTCCAGATTGGCATAGGCCTCTCTGGCTTTCACTATATGTGAATTAATCTCATGTTTCTCACCACTCCTTGCATTTGTACAGCGACCGGAATATTAGAACTTTTCAACTACTTCTAACTTATTATTTTATTTATTTTTATTTTAACACATAAGTATAGGTACAGGGAGGCACCAAATACATATGCGCCACACAAATCTCAATTGATTTGTGTGAGTGCTGTGATACTGCCCGGGTGCCCAAACCGAAGCAGGTGGTTTTCTTAGGGGGCCACACCCCGAGCCTTTGACCTGAACGTCTGACCCACAAGGCAGTGGAGCATCGTGAGGAGATGCAGTCCCATGGTAGCCGGTGACCAATGATTGGTTCATACGCCATTTGTTCCCGCAGGATACTGGAGCCCATGTGCACCATTGGTTTGGGATCCGGTTGAAGCGCCGGACATTCGCTTTTCGTCCTCTCATTTTTGTAAACAACACCCGTGGTGCGAGAAGGCAGTGAGTAGGACTTCCCCGGCAGGGGCTATATACGCATGGCCATGTGAGAGCATTTCGAGAGGGAGAGCGGACTCTCCCCACTCCCGGCCGTACCAGGGCATTTGGGGGCACCACGAGTGAGTGCAGTCTTGTAAAAGTACTTTGCAATTAAAATGTACAAGGCATATGCCTTACCTACTGGCGCTGATCATTGTGTTCTGTTATAGTGTGCATCGAATTTTCTTGTCACAGGAATTCAGCATAAACCAGCGATAAAATACTGTTATTTGCTGTGGAGTCAGTCACATAACGGAGGATTAGTAACTCATACTTCATATTGTCTAATTGATGTAGATACTGATGAGATACTTTTGTTCTACATATTGAGATCCACCCGTGATATAACCAGTAATATCAAACAATGAAGACATAAACTGTAGTAAAATACTAACGTTCTGCTTAACAAAATCGTTGTTAGTTTGAGTAAAAGAGACTAAAGTTACTAAAATATTGTGAATTGCGAGTTTTTAAGACAAACTTATATGTGTTATTCTTTTTATCATGGTATGCTACTGTAATACGATAGCTTTTTTCAGTTAATATTGAACGTTGAAGTTCAACTTGTCAGCTATTGAAAGGAAATTAATTTTTGTTAGTTCACCTACCAGAGCCCCTAAAATGAATATTTGAAGTCTGTTAGTTTAAATCCTGTCGTTAATTGAGTTCAATTTTACGCATTACTTCTGCATAACTTCGGAGTTTCTAAGCTAAAAGTCATTCCTGATTGTAAATAAATATTTCAGAAAGTTCAACATGGGAAGTCAAGCATACATTGTTCTCTCAACGTGGAACGATTACCATTCTTATCACAAAAGTGTCATTCGACATTAATTTATATTGAATTTGTTGTCATGATCTAAACTCTAGGGTTTGGTGTTCGGTATATTATTTCACAAAGACGATATTGTTAGCATTGTACGCATGAAGAATCAACATCTTTCCTCATCAGATATTCATTTGCTTCTAAATCTAATTGGAAGTTCACAGTCTTTCAAATCGGCACAATCTCACTGGTTACCGATCTGTCTGCCTAAATTCGATGCCAAGTAAGTATAAAAATCATGATACAGTTATGAAAATAGTCAGAAGGAATTAGTTGATATTCTGTTTTTAATTTATGAAATCAAAATTTATCTAGTTTTTGGTTTTCTCTGAATAGTCTTTTGCTTGAAGGCTTTTAGTGTTCCTGTATTTCCGTTGGATTTACTACGATCACAAAGTAAGCAATGTTGAAGTTAAGTACAAAGTTCCAGACATGTACGGCAAATTAACTGATATTTTGAAACTGTACTGATTGAATTGTCCCAGTTATGTGTTTTGCATGGTATGTCAAATTCTACTTCGACCTATAGTATTGGTTGTAATAGGGTTAAGTTAGAAAGTAGCTGAAAATAAGCCATATTTACGTATAATATCATTACATGTTATCACTGAATACAGGTATTTTTGTAGAGTAATGGTGATGCAGCCATTCTGAATCCTGGATGTAGTCGTAGGAATACTACAAAACAGTGTTTGGATACGCTTAGTAACATTTTACAAGTCTGTCAGATGGACGTTTTGTGTATACTTTTCTGAATCTCAAAGTTTCTTTTATTATCTATCGCCTGCTTATCGTTTATAACCGTTATTGCTTTCATGAATTTATGCATTTATTATTTTCTTAAGAATTTAAATGTACCAACCTGAACCCATGTGTTTATGCAGAGATGTACATAGATATGTTTATTTTTATCTGTCCGTACTACATTATATGAAGGGTCCATAGTAATTTATAATATTGTGTAACTATACCCAAAATATTCTTACTACTTATTCTCTTCACCTTTTCACATCATGAACCGATATCAGCCGAAAGATCACTGAAAATCAGGAGGTAAGGACACATCATCCTATGGTGGAGTTTCTCAGCAATACTCACTCATGATTCTATACAAGGTTAAATCCCAAGATCTTTAGGTTGCATGTCGAGGACAATAACTCTAAACTAATGGGTCGGTATACAATAATGCTACTTCAACCAATACACGATACAAAATTACTAACTTTTACTGCATTGATATTAAATCATTGTTATTGCGTATAGTTTTTTCCTTGTGGTTTTTATCTTAACTGTAGCGGGTTTCTATATGCCAGTGTTACCTATCTTAATGATGCAACATGCATGGTCTTGCTTACTGTTGATAGTGACAAATTTTATACACTCAAGTCAACTACCGAAAAAGTATTCACAGTGAGTTTCCTCATGTATGTTAAACTAATTATAAGAATAACTTGTTACATGATCAAGTCATTTTTTTAACAAAATTAATCAGTTCACCTATATGCTCTGAGATGTTAACATTATTATTAAGATGAATATGATGAAGCTTATATTTATGTGCATCTATTTTTACTTACTTAGTTACGCCTGTTACTCCTAATGGTGGAGCATAGGCCGCCGACCAACACTCTCCAACCCACTCTGTCCTGGGCCTTCTTTTCTAGTTCCATCCAATTCTTGTTCATTTTTTTCATGTCGATCTCCATTTCCCGACGTAATGTGTTCCTTGGTCTACCTCTCCTCCTTCGGCCTTGAGGATTCCATGTAAGGGCTTGTCTTGGGACGCAGTTCGGTGCTTTCCTCAATGTGTGTCCTATCCACTTCCAGCGCTTCTTCCTGATTTCGTCCTCTGCTGGGATCTAGTTTGTTCTCTCCCATAGTAGGTTGTTGCTAATAGTGTCCGGCCAACGGATCCGAAGTATTTTGCGTAGACAACTGTCGATAAACATCTGTATCTTCTGGATAGTGGCTTTCGTGGTTTTCCAGGTTTCGGCCCCATACAGTAGAACTGTCTTCACATTTGTACTGAAAATTCTGACTTTGGTGTTGGTTGACAATTGCTTTGAGTTCCAGATGTTCTTCAGTTGTAAATATGCTGCTCTTGCTTTGTTGATCCGCGCCTTCAAATCCGCATCAGATCCATCGTGTTCATCGATGATGCTGCCCAAATATGTAAAGGTTTTTACATCTTCCAAATCTTCTCCGTCAATTGTGATTGGATTGGTGTATGCTGTGTTGTATAGGAGAATCTTGCTTTTCCCTTTGTGTATGTTGAGACCCATTTCTGCTGAGGCTGCTGCTACACTAGTCGTCTTCTCCTGCATTTGTTGTTGCGTATGCGATAGAAGAGCCAGATCATCTGCGAAGTCTAGATCATCCAACTGCATCCTAGATGTCCACTATGTCCCGTGCTTACCTTCAGATGTTGATGTCTTCATGATCCAGCCGATCATCAGGAGAAAGATAAAGGGTGAGAGTAAGCAACCTTGCCTGACACCGGTCTTTACTTCGAACGACTTTGTCAACTGTCCTCCATGCACGATTTTGCAGTTTAATCCATCATAGGAATTCTGTATGATATTGACTATCATCTGAGGTACGCCGTAGTTTTTAAGAAGCTTCCATAATGTTGTTCTATTCACGCTATCAAATGCTTTTTCGTAGTCAATGAAGTTGATATAGAGTGATGAATTCCATTCAATTGATTGTTCCACAATGATCTGTAGAGTTGCGATTTAATCTGTACACGATTTATCCTTACGGAATCCTGCCTGTTGGTCTCGAAGTTGGGCGTCTACGGAGTCCTTCATCCTGTTTAACAATACCCTGTTGAAGACTTTTCCTGGTATTGAGAGAAGAGTGATGTGCCTGTAGTTATCACAGTTGCTGAGATCGCCTTTCTTTGATATTTTGATCAGAAGTCCTTCTTTCCAGTCTTTTGGCACCTGTTCCTCATCCCAGATCTTTCTGAAGTGAGTTTGGAGTATCCTTGCAGTTGCCGCTACGTCTGCTTTCAGTGCCTCTGCTGAAACGCTGTCTAGTCCTGCTGCTTTGCCACTCTTGATTTGTGTGATAGCCATGCTGATTTCTTCAATTGTTGGTGGGCCAACGTTGATTGGGAGGTCCGTGAGTGCTGCTTCGATGTTGGATGGGTTTAGTGGGGCTGGTCGATTCAACAGCTCTTTGAAGTGTTCTACCCACCTGTTTCGTTGTTCTTCAATGTTGGTGATTATCTTGCCTTCCTTGCTTTTCACTGGTCGTTCTGGTTTACGGTGATTTCCAGAGAGTTTCTTTGTTGTGTCATACAATTGTCTCATGTTTCCTTTACTGGTAGCCTTTTCCGCCGTCATTGCTAAATCTTCCACATATTTACGTTTGTCGGTTCTGATGCTCCTCTTCACTTGCTTGTTTACTTCTGTGTATTCAGCCTGTGCCTTGGCCTTTTCTGCTCTTGTTCGACTGGTATTGATTGCTGCTTTCTTGTTCCTCCTTTCTTGAATCTTATCTAGTGTATCGATCGTGATCCAATCCTTGTGGTGGAGCTTCTTTTGGCCCAGAACCTCATGACATGTTGAAGTGGTTGCCTCTTTTATCTCTTTCCAGTTGCTCTCCATAGTAGTTTCTTCTCCATTGAGTAGATCATGAAAGGCCTGGAACTTATTGTTGAGGGTTATCTTGAATTTATTGAGTTTGTCATTATCCCGAAGAAGAGCCGTATTAAACTTTTGTGATATTGTCCGCCCCGTTGTCCAGTGCCTCTTGAGTTTCAATTTCATCTTGGCGACCAGCAAGTGATAATCTGATGCTATATCAGCTCCTCTCTTGGTTCTCACATCCTCCATTGTCCTCCTGAACTTTTTGTTGATGCAGATATGGTCGATTTGGTTTTGCGTAGTGTGATCCGGTGAAGTCCATGTGGTTTTGTGTATGCGTTTATGTGGGAATATAGTGCCCCCTATGACCAGTTTATTGAAGGCACATAGGTTTGCAAATCTCTCACCATTTTCGTTCCTTCCTCCCAGTCCGTGTCGTCCCATGATCTCTTCATATCCGGTGTTGTCAATTCCAACCTAGGCATTTAGGTCTCCCATCACAATAGTCAGGTCCTTTGTTGGGCACTTCTCGACGATTGACTGCAGCCTATCGTAGAATTGATCTTTAGCGTCTTCATTGTAGTCGTTGGTAGGCGCGTAGCATTGGATGACATTCATTGTAATCCCCGTTTTCTTTGTTTTGAAGGAGGCTTTGATGATCCTTGGTCCATGAGATTCCCATCCTATAAGTGCATTTTGTGCTTGTTTGGACAGCATCAATGCAACTCCTTGTGTATGTGGGGCATCTTCTTGTTCATGTCCTGAGTATAACAGCAGCTCCCCTGAAGCTAGTCGTTGTTGTCCAACTTGCGTCCCAAGCACCTCTAGGTTGTATCTCCTCATCTCTGCAGCAATTTGGAAGACTCTCCCAGTCTCCCACATTGTACGAGCATTCCATGTACCTTCTAGTGGTCGGCTGGATTATCAAGACCTCCACTTCTCAGAATACAATGGACAGCTTTTATGCCTCTAGACGATTCGGATTTCGCAAATGACCTAGCTCTTCTATCCCATGCACACGAAGAAATGCAGGTGAAGACAACCAGTGTATCAGCAGCCTCGACATAATGTAAAAAGCAAGATCCTCAAATACAACACGGGGAACATCAACCCAATCACACTTGATGTAGAAACATTGAAAGAGGAAGAAACTTTCACGTACCTGGTCAGCATAATCGATGAACAAGGAGAATCGGATGCAGATGTGAAGTTAAGGATTGGCAAATCAAAGACAACATTCCTACATATGAAACTCAAAACGTCTGTCAGCCAAAATCAGAATCGCGATGATTGCCCTATGCTCCTCTACGAGAGGTAACAGGAGTAAGTTAGTATAAATTGACCATTTTACGTTGCTTGACCAATCAACAATATCTGATTTTATTTTTATTATTGTTATTATCGTTTTATTACCAGCTATTAAATACTACAAATAATGGTGATCACTTATCTGCGATAATGTCTTCAAAGTTTCCACAAATTTCTGATATTGGCATTAAGAATTTACGGCATTTTGTATATAAATCTATTGCAATCGGCCAATATGTTGCCAGTGAATGGGCTGTGCCATATGCTATCGCTTATGAATTATCCACAGAATCTCCAGTTGGAATGGATCCCGAGAGAAAAACTAAACTTCTTAATGATAATATTGTAAATAAATTACGTCATAATGTTTTGTTATCGTATAAACGACTTCATATGAGACTACATTCCTCTGCAATACCAACAAGATTCATTTACAAAGTGACAAGTACCGAATTATTTTTTGGCTGGGTTAGTTTACTAGTTTTGGGCTTTTTTGTCTCACACATAAATAGAATCCACACGATGATGATTTAGTGTTATTGATTAATATTTGATCTACTTTATCGTTTTATTTTGAATAATTACATCCTAATATGATTGTTAATGAAGTGTTAATTTAACGATTTGCAGCGTTATCATTTGTGAATCTATAAAAAGCCTATAAATTTAAACAAATTAGGTTATTTAAAAAGAAATTGTGTAAAAGAACAAGCTATGTTTGTCATATACGTGATAGACGATACACATTCTTTCTATGCACAATCCCAGATACTCAACAGAAAATCCGGAGAGTGAGAAGATAAGTTTATCTCTCTGAACCAAATAAAATATATGTGTTTTAATATTTTTTTCCTTACGCCTGTTACTCCCAATGGAGCATAGGCCGCCGACCACGATTCTCCAACCCACTCTGTCCCATTCCGCATGGAACCCCTCTGGGACTACTGCCGGTCCCAACCACAGATAAAGGAGGAGGGTTGTGCATGGGGTTAGCGACCCCATCCCGTAGAAAACCAACTCGCTAAAAACACGCTAACCGGAAAAAATTACTCAAAATGTATATGTGCTCACATATAAATGTAAATCTATGTTTATATCTCTCTTAGGAAATTAAGCCTACTAGTGAAAAGGAAATCTGTTCCCTAGTCAATCACATGTGCTTATCATTTGCTGATTTCTGATTGTCCTGTTGCATTAGGTGACATTTAATAACCTGGTCAATTGCTTCAAGATATGAGTTTGGACCAATTTTCATTGAAGGGACTAACACATATCGGTACATCTATGTAAGGAGTTCTAAACAGGGTAATATTTTAAACAGGTATGTTATGAAATGTGGAGTGGTGGCTTAATGGTTATAGAACTTGGACCGTAGCTGCTACCTTGACGTGGTGGTCGGGCTTGCCTATCGTGATGACCCAACCGAGCTATATTGGCTGGAACACATGTTCCTGCAGGTTCTACCATGCCAGACAGGTCGATTGGAGAACGGTAAGACTAAAAGCAGCAACTCAAGGTCTGAAGGCGAAGTCGTACTGCTGACTGTACAGAGGGGTGACAGCAGTAAGGTGTTTCCCTCGGACAACCAGCATCTGCAGCGATGCTGCCTTCTCACAAGGAAGGAAGGGGTTAGAAAAGGTCGACTCTAAAAATGTCACACCTCACTTTACCCCACGGATTTCCGCCTGCGGCGGTAAGGCCCTTTGAAGAACGGGGCTAACACATTAAACATGTCCCACAAAAAGGCCGTGCGCGACCGGCCTCAAGCAGCTGTCCCTTGGGCTCTGCGGTCACGCACTCAGGTCGCTAAGACCAACACTGATCCAATTTCCTTTTCAGGTCCCCCAAGAAATACGCTTCCACGGTGTGGGCAACCGGGAAGTGATATCAGCCCTCATACCCGTAACAGCACACGAGACCAAGTTGGTCACATTCAAATCCTTCCTACACCTCCTAATAACTCTCTTATCTCCACGACTAACCCTTCTTACGTCCCTTTATCCCCTTGCCCCACTAGTGCAAACGATTCGAGTACGTGGAATGTTATTCCTGGTCTCCTGAAACCACGTTCTAAACTACACATAGAAGCTTTCAACGTCCGAACACTGTGCCAAATAGGACAACAGGCTTTCTTAGTTAAGACTTTAGAATCTCGCTCCATCGATGTGTGCTGCGTCTCGGAAACGCGCACACAGGATCCGAGTAGTGTCATTCATTTGACTGCACCATGTCAAAGTAACGAACCAACTCGATTTACGCTTCGTGTATCTGGAAGCCCTGATGCTGCTTCCCGTGGCCTCGCTGGCGTAGGTATAGCATTGAGTCCTAGGGCAGAACTAGCTATCTTAGACTGGATGCCAGTGGACAGTCTCTTGTGCGATATCTGACTAAACGGAACAGTAAGGACTCGTAAAGATAGAGACACTCGTCGTTGCCTCTTCGTCGTCTCTGCCTACTCTCCCACTGACTGCAGCTCAGATGATGTAAAAGATGAGTGACAGAAAGCTTTCTGACCTTCTCCAAAAGGTCGGGCGCTCTGATGTAGTAATAGTGGCTGGTGACTTTAATTCTCAAGTAAGTAAACTAAGTGAAAGGGAAAGACACCTGGGTGGTGTCGCGGCTCAAAGAACAGATAACGGCGACCGTCTGTTGCAGCTATGTTCAGATAACCGCCTGTTTCTTGCAAACACTAACTTTAAGCATAAGGAAAAACATCTATTAACATGGCGACCCCCTAATTCGTCCCAACGTTGGACCCAAATAGATCACATTGCTATCAGCTACCAATGGAGGGGCTCGATAGAAGACTGTCGCTCATTCTGGAGCACATGCTTAGACTCAGATCATGCTCTAGTGCGAGCGCGTATTTGTCTACGTCTTACTGGACGTAGGAAACATGCTGCAAGGAAACCCCTTAGAGTCCTACTTAATGATAGTCAAGCTAAGAGTATATTTTAGGAACTAGAAAAACAGTTAGGCAGCTATGTAACTAATGCCCACCCCGAGGCAGCGTGGAATGACATCCGAAAAGCTGTAGATGCAGCATCGATGTCTGAAAGTATGGTAAACCATAAGGTTAGGGAGAAATACTGGATCTCAGCAGCGTCTACCGCACTGATAGATGCTTGAAAACTCATTCCATCTGGCTCTGAACATAACGAAGAGCGGAGTCAGCTTAAGGACAGGCTGATAAGAAGCCTACGCAATGATCGCGAACAGTGGTGGGTAGCGAAATCAACAGAGAAAAGGCAGCGGTAATAGGTAACAGCAGACAATTGTTCAGACTTGTCAAGGAAACCGGTATTAGGAACTCAACTGTTAGCGAAACAATCTCAGAGAAGGATGGACATATTATTCATTCTTAATCCAGGAGATTGGATCGATGGGCAGAACACTTTATGGATCAGTTCAACTGGCCTTCAGCCACACTTCGGTTTCCCACGATCTCCAGTCTACTTGAATGGCAAGTTAATGTAAGTCCTCCGACTCTTTACGAAGTTGAAAAAGCTATAGGAAATCTGAAGCGTGGGAGAGCAGCAGGCCGTGACAGGTTTACCCCTGAGATTTTTAAGGATGGCGGTCCAGTATTAGCAGCGAGATTGACTGACGTCTTAGGTAGAATCTGGGAACTGGACGTAATCCCATCTGACTGGTCTCAATCACTGATTGTGCCAGTCTATAAGAAAGGACAAAAGTCCTCCTGTGACAATCACAGAGGAATTAGTTTGACTAATATGGTGTCTAAAATATTAGCTTCAATAATACTTCGACGTCTAACCAAAGCTCGTGAAGAGCAGACTAGAGAAAACTAGGCTGGTTTTCGACCTGGACGTGGTTGTATAAATCAGATATTCACATTACGTCAGGTCCTAGAACATAGACACACATTCAGACGCCCCACAATGGTAGTATTTCTCGACCTTAAGGCGGCATTTGACTCTGTTGATCGTGAGGTTCTATGGCAGTGTTTGTCACTGAAAGGAGTACCAAAGAAGTACATCAACCTTATAAAGGCTCTCTACTTGAACACAACTGGTCAAGTGAGAGCTTATGGCAAACTGTCATCAGAATTGATTACCTCAAGTGGTGTTCGTCAGAGCTGTCCACTCTCTCCATTCTTCTTTAACTTTGTCGTTGACGTCCTTTTAGAGATGACACTTTCCTCATCTAATTTTCCAGGAGTTGAACTTCTACCGGGAGATCCACTTGTTGACCTAGAATATGCCAATGACATAGTTCTATTTAGTGAAGACGCTGACAGAATGCAGAGTCTGCTGACCACTCTAAGCAACAATGCAGGCATGTTCGGCATGCGATTCTCTCTCTCTCTCGAAATGCAAAATGTTGCTTCAGGATTGGGTTGCGTCGACACCCGAACTAGTGATAGGGAGCGAAGTAGTTGAGCGTGTCGACCGCTTCACTTATCTGGGAAGTCTCATCAGCTCTTGTGGTTTGGTGTGTGACGAAATCTCAGCACGATTACAAAAGGCTCGACTAGCTTTTTCCAACTTGCGTCATTTATGGTGTAGGCGAGATATCCGTCTATCAACCAAAGGACGTGTTTACTGCGCAGCAGTTCGTTCCGTCCTACTTTATGGCAGTGAAACATGGCCAGTAAGAGTAGAGGATATTCGTAGGTTACTAGTATTTGACCATAGGTGTCTTCGAAACATCGCTCGTATATCCTGGGACCACCGAGTAAGTAACTCAGTTGTTAGGAAACGGGTACTAGGTAAGGATGGCAAATCAGTTGAGGAAGTAGTGGAACTTAATCAGTTGAGATGGCTGGGACATGTGTTGCGCATGCCCGACCACCGACTGCCCCGACGTGCGATGTTTTATGGTGTAGGAGTAGGTTGGAAGAAAGCTAGAGGCGGCCAGACCAAAACATGGCAGAAATCCATGAAGTCTCTGACAAGTGGACTGAGCCATGTTGGTAGGTGTAGACTACCTGGTTGGGGACCGCGAGACGATAGCAACCGATGGTTAGAGACTTTGAATGACATGGCTGAAAATCGTTTGCAATGGCGCAGGTGCATCCACTCTTTTTTTTTCTCAAACTCTAATCTTCTGAATTCTTCATGTCATTTATTTTCTTTCCCAATTTATTCCACTGGACTATACTCCTTTAATAACATCATCAAACCTTAATGTCCCCTATCTCTACTTATACTTTCAGTACCTCTACCACTACGGGATTTGAATCGATAACTGAATCTCTGTGCTAATGTGGTATGGCAACTCGAACTGATGTACGTACATAGGTACGAAGTTCCACGTTGTTACTGACTGACTGACTTGGATTGCAACCAAGTAGGTCGCAGATTCCCAGCCTGTTTCATCTATTTATTATTCATAAGCTGAGTAGTATCAATGACGTTTACACATAAGTAGTATCTCCCGAAACCGGTTACGTCATTTTGTTCTTGGTTTAAAAATCACAGTATTATCATTCATTGTGTTACAAAAGATTGAATCTGGAAGTGAAAATGATATAATATCACTTATTAGTGTATATATTAGATGTAGTCTAAAATTTTACGATTTACTTTTTTTAAAATGAATATCCAGTCAATTGAATCTTGATATCATGGTTGAATAATTATCTGTCTTATTTATAACAATTTATTATAACAAGGTTCTATCAATCCTTCATGGCTAAACCATTTTATGAGAACCTCAAGCGGCCTATTTTATCGTAGAAATTTTTTTATTTATTCAATCTCCATATTGTAATTTTTAGTTCATATTGTTCATTAATTCCAATAGTTGTTCCTTCATCAAATTGAAATTTACCGCTGATAATACGGTAAATATTATTAATGCTATGTTTGAAGCAATTACGAGTTCACCTAGTCTGCGAACGGAACAAAGACTCTGTGACTACTATTCTGATGTGTCTCAGCCCCCCCCCCTAACTAGAGAGAGGTGCGAGAGGCACGAGCAACCACAACAATTCTAGTCGAAAATACACTCATTTATATATTGGTTTGCACACCCATTTTTGATTAATAATCAGAATAAATCACATATATGAAAAATACTTCATATGTTATACATAATGAAATATCATAGGGGGAAACGAAACAAATCCTATACTGAGTAATCATCAAATTGAATTAAACGGAATTAATGTTGAATAAAAATCATAATGAATAAATCCATCAAATTTTGACTTTACATCCCCTCATAACAATTAAATATAACAAGTAGCTTCATCAATTCAAGTTATATTTCTTCGATGGTTGTTGATTAACAAAGTGGTTGAAATAATATAAAAGTTTTTTTTTTAAAAAAAAGAAAGACAACGAGGTAGATGGAAAATGCTTAAGCTAATTAAAACAATTGAATCATGTAACTATTGTTAAACAATTTTCAAATTAACATATACATTCTTTTTTATTTCTTTATTTCTTATAGAAAACGGATAATTTCGAATTATATGCCACATTAGAACCAATGATTACAATAACAGAATTAGGTGAAATTCGTAAACAATTATTAAAATGGATCGAATCAAAGAAAACACAATTTTTTATTTTATCATCTCCAACATTTTAATAATTTTTTAATTATTCTACCAATACTACTTATTCATTCTTTACATTCAAAAACGTATCATGATCTATTTCATTTAATTATAATAATGTTGTATATTGAATATTTATTTTGAACTAATTTGAAAAGATTAAACCATCTGAAAGCACTTAGAAACTGTACAACATTAGTTCTAAGTTGGTAGGTCATTTTCAAATATTACATTGAGTAATTAGATTGCTAAGCTTAATATCGATTGACAAACTGTTAAGTTTATATAATGACTTATCAGTGAACTTTATACTGATCTTAGGATTACAAGTTAATTTTTTTGTTTTCCACAATCTCTTTAATGAAACTTGTAATAATATATTTAGATTTTATTCAATTTCAAATACCACAATTCAGCTCTAAAAAGCTAGAAGCATTAATTCATAATACATTAGCTTACTGATGAATAAAAATCTAAGTTTTATCTTTGATTTATTCTATTTAAACACTAATTTTGTAATTTCAATGGTTGAGATCATGAGTTAGTTGAAGCTAGAAAACCTGGAAAACCCCTTCTGATACTAATTTAATAGATGAATGTATTCTGAAGATTAATGGTGTCGTTGAAACTTCCTAATAATACTTAACAATTAATCTTTTCTGATCTAAAGTAGAGATTAATATCTATTGTTATATGCTTCATATTATCATAGCAACGACAGCTCATTCACTTAGTAAACATTTTTGTAATTCAATAAAGATGGTATTGAATTGATGCAAAATCTTTCATCAATCAAAAGATTTAATCATCATAGTTTCACAATTTACGAAAACAATTAAATATTTTGATACAGTATACAGATGTGGAGTGGGATTAAGGTTTCTGTCAGAAAAAAAAAACGTATTCTTTCATAACTATCACAAAACTTAACAGTACACCAGAAATTTACGTAAAGTTTTATTATAACACTGAACTCTGGGAACTCAGACTATAGGGTAGACTTAAAAATAATCAGAAACATTCAAAAGATGGCTCATAACAGATTTCCCTTTAATTCAATAATAATATTAAGAATGTGATGCACTGGCCAACATGGATTACATCGCCCTGATTCTTTTTTATTACCAATGAGTTAATCAACATCTATGGAAATTTATGCGTTGATATTTGTGTACTAGCCTATACACTCGACATACTTCACAGGTATATAACCTATCCACACATGTTATTGTGTCTTTTTTTAGAGATATGTTTTCTGCTTACTATATTTAATTTCCTGCATTAATGTTTTGTCACTTTATAATTCCCTTAAAACCTTCCATTTAGGAAATCAACGTTCATTATAAAAAAATGTTTCTCTTAGTATTACTTCGAATAATAAATAATATCACTTGTAAACTTAAAATATGTACATTTGATCAAGATGTCTTACACAAAATTCAAAGTTTTGACTGTCAATCCCATAAAATGAATAGAGATACAATCGATTTCTTATCAAACTCATAAGATGTTTAACATGAATGTAGTACATAGACAAATCTTGATGTCCATTTCGTTACAACACGATTATTGAGGTTGGCTGGTATTAAAATGCTATGATTGTCTGTTTATTACTATTTTTAAGGATTTGATTGTGAATTACGAAAATAAGATGAACATTATGCTCCATGTCATATCCAACAATGATGTTATCTTCAATGTTTTAGAGATTGTAGTCCTAGCTTCAGAAAAGTTGCATAATAATAATGCCAACTGTTACAGAGACATCAGTACCGAAATATCACGAACATCAACACTCATAATACCATCAAAAAGTTACATTTACTAGTGATAGTTAGCTCACATTTACGGTAAATTAATACATTATTTATTCTGTTCGATTAAATTCTCTCAATATTGACTTATTACTAGTGAAGAATATTTCTTAGCTGTATTAGAAAAATAGCAGTTCTCACTTATACCATTTAATATGTTTACACTTTCGATCGATAAATCTTTAAGTAGTACTGTGATTTTGTAAATAACTAAAAATGATAAGTGTGTGGATGTCTAGTATAGTACTGTGTGATCGTTGCGTTGTTTTGGGAATCGACTATTGTTGCAAATCAATCCCGACTTCTTAGCTTAATAACAACCTACAAATCATGATTTCTGATTGTTTGTCTTCATACTTCGTTTATATTTTTGCTTAATAATATCTTTGCGCTGTAATTTTATCCTTACATAGTCAACTTATGTGGATTTTGGTGATTGAACGCCTCATTACTAGTATTTGTTAATTCTTCGCCTTCTACTGCTTTTTATAAAAGGTTCCGTAATTTCAAAAACACTATGGCTTTCAATTTCTCAATTTTACACGTAGATTTATCCTTAGGTAAGAATTCACATACAGAATATGTAACCAAAAACATTTTCCAGAAAGTATTCCGTTTGACTTTATTTATTCACTAAGTTTCAAAGGATATGTCCCCAAACTAAAATTTGCATCATATACCACTGAGTATATGATTGTATTCATTTTTAGTGGAAACACACTGGGATGTAATCTGGATATAAAATTAAAGATAACTGAGTGCCTATCTAGTTGACTGTAAAAGTAATTAAACTTCAATAGTTTAATTTCTTTTGAAACAAACAACCATCTGTTACAAAAAATTAACAGTCAACTAGCCTTTTCATTGGTAGAAAATGGGCTTCAGTAGCAATATACACAGATTGTAAAAGTTGAATACTTGTATTTCTTTGGAGTCTTGAACGTGTAGAAACTTATGTCACCTTATAATGCTCAGAAGCAGCTTGTACTTTGATGTTAGGTGGTTGTAGATAGTCAGATGGAGGCACTAGACACGAGTCTCGAGATAGCTTGCACCTGTTGCAAAAGTGTACCGTAAATCTTGTAGGATTTATTACTTTATGTGATGTTCGAACATGCGTTACCCAGTTTCAGTGTCTGAGAATTTACCACTGAGCTATTTGAGTGGCAACTAATCTCTTATAAAACATACATTTATATTAATTGATCACCACACACTAAAGCTCAGTCATGCTTGTCTTTTCCTCAATCGTGACCGAAGTCGATCGATTGAGTTGTCATTACGTTTGTCAGACATTGGTTTCTGTAAGTCACGAGACATCAGAAATTCGATTTTTCCCGAGTGGAGGTATAAAATGTGTCTATTCTTGGTCAACGTTGTAGCTGTGAGTTTAACACTACGTTTTCTTATAGAACATTTTTTCATGGCCAATTTTGAGAATACAGTACCACAAGCGACGGCCGATAGCTTCACTAATACAAAAGACATATTGATGGCACTTTCATAACTTGCGATGTTAATAGTGCCCTCAATATCATCCTGAATTAGTTCATTAGTCGTCATAAATCAATTAATTTTAGATTGGAATCAAGTTTGAATTCGGAAATTAACTTCCTCAATGTCGTATTAAAAAGACGACCAGATGGTACATTACAAAGATAGATATATCGAAAAGCAACTTGAAATGAACAATATACAAATTCTCATAACTTGGTGCCATTAAACAAGAAAAGAAACTTTATTCAATCTTTAATATCAAAGGGTAGGTGAATATGCACTGAAGATACGATAAACCAGGAACTATCCAAGCTTTAACAAATATTCACAAAAGTCGCTATCCATCCACGTTTGTTGACGGAAACATGTGAAGCTAAAATAAAATCTAAGACCTATAGTTCCCGAAAGAACCCCATTCATGAACATTTAGTTCAAGGGAGATACTGCTACAGAGCTTTGGAAAAACCGTCCGACGGAATTTTGAGAAAAACTTGTATTCTGCTAAGCTTCGTATTGTCTTCTCCATCTATCCTGCCATTCTTGGATACGTGGAAAATAAATTACCTTATTAGTCACATTAATGTGTATTTATAAGTTTACTTGCTCCTTTGGAGGCCGCTACATCGACCTCATAAAACAAATCTCCAAACATTATCTTGTGTGGATATTTTGATTTTAAAATAAAGAATCGCGTGGTTTATGTTGCTTACTTACTTACTTACTTACTTACGCCTGTTACTCCCAATGGAGCATAGGCCGCCGAACAGCATTCTCCAACCCACTCTGTCCTGGGCCTTCTTTTCAAGTTCCATCCAATTCTTGTTCATTTTTCTCATATCTATCTCCATTTCTCGGCGTAATGTATTCTTTGGTCTTCCTTCGACCTTGAGGGTTCCATATGAGGGCTTGTCTTGTGACGCAGTTCGGTGCTTTCCTCAGTGTGTGTCCTATCCACTTCCAGCGCTTCTTCCTGATTTCTTCCTCCACTGGGATCTGATTTGTTCTCTCCCACAGTAGGCTGTTGCTAATAGTGTCCGGCCAACGGATCCGAAGTATTTTGCGTAGACAACTGTTAATAAACACCTGTATCTTTTGGACGATGGATTTCGTAGTTCTCCAGGTTTCCGCGCCATACAGTAGAACTGTCTTGACATTTGTATTGAAAATTCTGACTTTGGTTTTGGTTGCTAATTGTTTTGAGTTCCAGATATTCTTCAGTTGTAGATATGCTGCTCTTGCTTTGCCAATCCGTGCCTTCACATCTGCATCAGATCCACCGTGTTCATCGATGATACTGCCCAAATATGTAAAGGTTTTTACATCTTCCAAAGCTTCTCCATCAATTATGATTGGATTGGTACATGTTGTGTTGTATCGAAGAATCTTGCTTTTCCCTTTGTGTATATTGAGACCTATTGCTGCTGAGGCTGCAGCTACACTGGTTGTCTTCTCCTGCATTTGTTAATGTTAGCTTTCTTTTATTTTCTTATTGTGATTGTTTTATCTATCTATACCGAATTCGACAAGTTGGTTTGCAATATTGTGTGATTTTTATTTTCACTATGTAAAGTAATTTATGAATAAATTTCATCAGAAAAGTTTGTTTACTTAAAATAATATAGTAGTTGCTCCAGATATTATTAAGTTTAAACTCTACTCTCTGATTTGCTGACGTAAGGAACACGTAAAACAAATAAATGAAAGTATTGAGAGATTAAATATTCAAATAAATTGACGATTTAGAAGTTATAAGTTATGATCATAAAATACGGTAAATCAAAGGAGACAAATAACATTACTGATTTACAGAAATATTATCTGGTTACGCAATTGTTCTAATTAATTTAGTGTAAGTGTTCTGGTAAGATTGCATAGAAACTGTAAAAAAAATAGATTTATACCTTTTGAAGTACATAAATAGAATAGACAATCTAATGAAAGTATCCTTATTAAGTGAACTCATGAATTTAGTTATAGAAACTTAATTTTGTAGTAAGAGATGGATTATCTGTGCATATATGATATGTATTATGGTCCTTGGAACGTAGTATTATACAAAATGAAACGCTATTCTAATCATAAGATTTAATATTTGAAATTGTTATGAATGTTATATGTGAATTAAAGAACAAGTTCAAAGTATGAATGGAATACCTGATCATGTTGAATTGTCTAATATGATCATGTACGATGAAAACTCAAGGTTATTAGGAAGTCACATTCGGAGTGAAAATACCCCAGGAATTATCTAGTACTATTCCTGAATGAGAAATAGTGTCATTCCCCCATTGGTCAACATTCTTCCAACGTGTCATTTCCCTATTGGTCAATATTTATTTGTGTCATTTCCTAAAGGTTAAATCCTGTACAAATGTTATTTTCTATTTTATGGTACGTTGTGGTCTGTTTGATTGCTATATAAACAGTATGTTTGAAATATAATGATTCATATCACCGAGGCTG